TTTTTTTTTAAATCTTATTTCAATTTGCTTATGTGGATATCAACGGAGTTTTACAGTGACTGTATTATGAGTTTATTTCATATTGTTGTAATTCTGATGATATTCACATTGCAGTTGGCTGTTACTTTTTTAGAAGGGAGAAAATGAAAAAAATTTTTTATCTTCCAGAAAATTTTGAAATAATTTTTTTGTAAGTGTGGTATGCGTTTGCGAAGGTTTATTGCACGGATAAATTTTTTTTGTTGTGCTGATCTGTCGAAGTTTTGAGTTTAATGGTCTTAATAAAAAAATCTTCGTTTGTAATGAGCGAAAAATTTGCATAGATTTTGATACATCAGCGTGTCATTGTTCTTTCGTAGCTGTATAAATCTATGGCATAAATGTCGTTTGTAGGTTGGGCTTTTGTACATTTAAATTTTTTTATTGGTAGGAAATGTGAACCTGAATGAAGTAATTCATCAGCAAATGGTGCGCGTGAGATGTCATATGTTATACCTTTTTTTAGGTTTCTCCACAGTTTGAACAAAGACAGAGACAGATCCTGAAGAGGAAACAAAAGGAGGAAGAGATTGCCAAGGCTAGAGAAGCTGCTGCGCTAGAATATATGCAGCAGTGTTCATGGTTAGTGTATTGCAGTGTTTCTTGTTGGACTTTTGCGTTCTAGTTCATTAATTTAAGTCGTTGATAAATTCAAAAAATTAAGATGAGGGTTAGTTTATGAGTATTAAGATCTACCATTAACTGCATTTTTGTTTTCTTCAGCAGTGATGCTCAGAAACCAGGCGGGTTCAAAATCCTTAAAAGACCACAAAGTTACGGAGTTCTTCCTTCTTCATCACAGGTTGAGCAACCGAAAGCTCCAGAACCACAGCAGTCAAAACAGAAGAGTTTAGAGGTTTGTTCAGAATGTAAAATTAATTTGTAGCTCTCCCAAACAAAAGTCAATTCTTTGTAAAAGAAAAAAAAATTAGGAAGAATTGTAGAAGTGGTAGTATTATCCATTTAATGAAACCTTAGTGCTTTAGTTTGTTCTGTATATTTAGGAACGTCAAGCAGCTTATTTGGAAGCACGTGAGAGAATTTTTGCTGACTATACGCCTGAGAAAGACAGCGGAGATATTGACGTAGACACTAGGCTTACTGGTTTGTCTGGAAATGCGTCATCCAGTAACCCTCAGTCACATATTTTCAACCATATCTCGATACCTCGTGCGCGGCCTCCTGCTGCTCTTCTCAATATACGTACACATCCTTACCAAGCCGTTTCTGGAAACCCAGGTTCAGCTTTATAGTGAAGTTATTCATTTTCTATGTATTAAAGCTTTGTAGGGTTACTCCTGTGGAGGGTAGGTCTCATAATCACTAGCTGACGGCCGTTTTCGAACAAAAAGACGGAACGAGTTTCCCGTTTTTTGTTGTTTGAGTAGGTTATAAAGTATTTCAGATATAGTTCAGGAAATAAGCTGAATAGAGGTGCTTTGCAAAAAATCGCAGCCGTCTGGCTTTACAAAAAAATTTTTTCTATTTGGGACCTGCCATCTGGAGGGGTGTTATGGTTTTTGGTACAATGTGTTAGTAAAATGACGTGAAATGATGATTTTTCAGGACTGGATTACACGTTTTCTCATCATGTTTCAACTTATCCAGGTATACATCACCCTCAAAGGGTTCCGGTTGTTGGGCAGGTGCCTTTTTATGACGCAAGAATACCACCACCGCCTGGTCCCGTTTTCAGCGTCCCTGCTATGATGGGCCCTATTATTGTTGATCAGCAAAGAGGAAATACTGCAACTTACGGGCAAGTCTTAGCACTCCATTGAAAAAATCAGTATTTTTAAAAATTGTGTAACGGGGTTTTTTACAAATTTGCTCTAAAAACTGCCACTTTTTCTCATTTCCAGCTGATTTCGTGTCTAAATTTGATCTATATATCTACTAAACTAATCTTTTTTTGGTATAGCCAGAAAATTGAATTTTACTGCGAATTTACAGACGTCCTCCAGCAGTTTTATTGGCCCAGAAACCTTTTTCTGCTTCGTCGAATACGTCATTACATCAATCTGGCGACCGGTGAATTCTTGTCAGATTATTATTATTTTTGAGTAATATTTTTGTCCAAGTTGCCTTGTTTTCTGTAAAAACTTCTGTGCATTTTTTCTTCTCTGGTAATGAGGTCTGCTTGGTTCTTTCCTCAAGCGGAGCTCCCTGGTCTATTTGGACTATACTCTTCGTTACGTAAGTTATGTTAGCGATAATATAAAATGGCTTTTCAGAGGAATAAAAGAATTTTTTCACTAAGAACATAATGTATTTATTGAGTGAATGCGAACTTTGAAGATTTTCTGGATGAGACTTGTTTGTGATGTTTAGAGTGTTTCTTGAGTCTTTCTAATTTCGGTATCATTTTTATAGCTTGACGTTTTATGTAACCTTTTAAAATATTCTCTGTTGATAAATGGATGGTTTTTGTTGAATTCCATGAAACAGTTCTATAAAGTTTTTTACTGAATTATTTTTCTTTTGGTTTGCGCTCATCTTTAAACATTCTGTAGCTGAGATCGGTTGCACCGTTCTTGACCTTTTTATTGACTGCTTCCTGACTTTTAGTTGCCAGCTTGAGTGGACCATCACAATTCTGATTTGACATTTTTTGACGTCTCTTCTTGGTGGCGTTGTGGCACTTCCATGTATTTGGTCTTAGATGTCAAACAAACTGCAAAATGGGCTTTGTTAAACAGTTTAACGGTTTGCTCAGCAGAGTATTGGATAAATTCCCATTCTGCATCCACGCAGACAAAAGCTGGGTTTCGAAGGGAATTTGGTACGTTATGAGCAATAAGTAAAGCAGTTGGGTTTTTGTTGTATTTTCTGAGAAAGTTTTTTCTTGTGGATGTTTTGCTTGGTCCCGGATGAATGCAAAAGTCTGAGTCAGGTGGGTGTTAAGTTTTTTGTGTGTCCATCTGCTGGAGAGGAGGCAGTCGTTTAGGGTCTGGTTCAAGGGTGACGAGGTGTTGGTAGGGGCAAAAAGTAAAGCTTGACTTGGGAGTGAGGATGTGGTTTTCAATGATGTAGGGGTTGGATGTTACTTTAAGAATGAGTCACGGTTAGAAGGAATTTGTTTTAGTTTAAATAACGTAGTCTGGTTAAAAATCCCTTGGTGTGGGGACTGTTGTCAGTTAAAAGTTATTGGGTGGGCGGAAGCTGTTTGAAAACGCGACAGTGGAGTGAAATGTGCAGTTGGGAAGGCTTGTTGTAGAAGCTATTTGAGCGGTAAGGTAACAGACAGTCATTGACTTAAACTGTTTCATTTTAATTGCAAGTCGAGGACGTATCGTATTGTGCTTGACAAAGAAAACTATAAGTGCTGAAACAACTGTCGTGGTGGATAAAAGTCATTTCTCCGATAGGGAGCAACGCTGGTAAAGCATTTTGATAGCTGTGGGTCATAGGTGGCATCTGTCAAGACGTAAGTAATTTCTTGAAGGAATTTCTTGTGGAATCAATGTAACACTGGAGTAAGTAAGTTCCGGAGTTTTAGAGGCTTATTGTACTATATTGTCGGAATGTTTTAGTAAATACAGCACCATTCGCGAAGTGCAGGTTTCAGCCGCAGAGTCATGAGTCGTAAATACAATTTTATGGATTCAGAAAGTGAAGTGTACTCTCAAATAATGAAAATTTTTGCAGAGCAGACAAATTAGCTAAACAAGAGACATCAAAGAGCTAACTACGAAGCGTTTATTGGGAAGTTTTTTTTGGAACTTAGTTGGCATAAATGTATATCGGTTTGAAAAATTATTTCTGACACTGTAAACTGTTACAGTTAAGTAAATTATATTCACAGTCGTGTATTAGTGAAGAGCGATTTGTATGTAACCGAATTGCACATGTAGATTTTTTTTTGTTGTTGCTAGTATTGAACGTGCAGCAAAAAAAGCCCATTAAATGGACAGTGACTTCCAAAAAGTTAAACAGCTTCCTTCTGCCCCACCCGCATCTATTTCACTCCACTTTTGTCTGCATGTAAGGTTTATGTTGAGGAAGTATCAGATTATAGTTTAAAACTTCAATGTTTATTTAGCAAATGAAGTTCCTCTTCAACCCTCTTACTTCATTTTTCATTCTTATTTTTTCTTGTTGTAAGTTTGTCTTTTAATGGATAGACTTAAAGCAATCGGGGTCTCCTATTTCTTTCATTGTTTGCAACTTGTATTTATTGGTTTTTTTATTTATTCTTGAACTTTGGTTGTCTAAAGTTTCGTTTACAGCCATCGGATTGTTTGGAAATAAATAACTGAATAAAAATAAATAAATTTTATAAACAGTTTTACCGTGTGGCTCTGTATCTGCGCCAGAAAGCGATTCCAGGTGTAGTCGAACATCAGCTTCAGAACTGGTCGCTTGAACATATTTTATACGTGCTTCACACTGTAATTAGGCTTTGCGTTAATGAATGATTGCCGTGAATCTGATTGATAAGGATGTTTTGTTTTTCTTTTACAAAATCAGTTGTAAAATTCTGAATGATTTATAAATTTCAAATTGATGCAGTAATTTTTTCAGTTTACTTATTGTTTAAAAAAATTGTTTACTTACATTAGATAAATCTATTCTTACAAATACTGGAAGAAGTTGGTGACGTATTTTAAATATTCTCAGAAATTTTGTTGAAACTGCATCGTCAGCGGAACTAAAATGTCTTTTTTGGTACAAAGAAAGTATAATTTATCTTTAAAACTTCAAGTCCTGAATAAGAAAAGTGTTTATAATTTGAGATAAAGAAATGTTTTGGATTAAGATAATGTATTGCTGACATATTCATTGAGGCAAAGTAACAGGATGAATTGGTTTTTTTATCAAGTGCATAACTGTAGAAGTGTTGTTTCAGGTCTGTGGTGTTGTCAGGTGTGCTGTTGATCAGTATGATCAGCGGTTGATCTTTGTTGCTAATATATGTTAAGCTCTCTTCATCCACTGATATCTGAAAAAACACTTGCACCATTCTTTTCATTCTTTTTCACTTTTATCAGTGACGATGAATGTGTTACGGAAGTGAAATTTGTTGATGATAAACTTTTGAAATTTTTTCTTGTTTTCTTTAACTGAGTAAGTTTTCTTGTTTATTTTTAATGCTATTATAATGATGTTGCTCAGTGCTTAGGAAACTAGGCAAGGAGGAAAAAAGAATGCTAACGGAAACGAACAAAAGTTGGAACGGACGAACGAACGATAAATTCTTCAACAGTTTCGTTGCTTAAACCGTCATACCAGACCACCACTTTTTCCAAAATTTCTTTGGGTTTAAAGGTGAAAATCGCTGGATTGTGAGCCCTAAATTAATACGGTTAATATTGAATCATTCTACAGCTTCACTGCCCAAAAAAAAATCTTTTTTTCACCATTTAGTGGTAAGCCTGAAAACGACTGTAATTTAGTTGTGTCCACAAAGTACTGATAAGAAAGATTAAGTCTGTCATATCTGCTTTTAAAGTTTTCTTAAATGTTATGAACTGGTCCTTAGAAGTGTGTGAAATAACTACTTACCATTCGGCAACTTTAGGGTTCTTGAAAATCCCAAAGTGGTATTTACCGTGAAATTTATGAGCAGCTTTCATAAATTTCTGCAATTATAAATTTAATGCACCTGTTTGTTAGGAGTTTTTGAGTTGAAAAAACAGTTTCCTTTTTAAATTGTGGTTTTTACAGAAGCAGTAAAAGAAGTCAGTGGGAAAGAACGGAAGGAGGTTGAGGGAGGAACTGGTAATTACTTGATAAATTGGTGACTTTTCGTTGGAGAAGAAGCCAACTGTTATCGCTTGTTGGACTTCCTCACTGAATACAGTTCCTGTCATAATACCTTCACGGTACTTTTCAACTGCACTTTCTGTCAAATCATGAACTTCAGGTTCTTTTAGCCTGAAAGACAAGCCTAAAAGGACGCTAAGAATGCGTGAAAGTTGCGAAACATACTGTGCGTTGTACACTTATGAAAAATTTTTTGATTATTTTTGGTTTTTTTCTTTTCTTGAAACAGTAATATTCAAAAGTAATTGATAATAAATTTCACCAGTTATAAATTATGGTAGCTAGCATCTGTTTGGTCTCTTATTTTCTTTCTTGTTTCTCCGTTTTACTTTTTTTAAAGTTTTTCACTCACATTTGAATCCATCGTTTTATTCCGTTTAGGGTAAAGGCCCCATCAAATACTTGATAAATTTTGTTGTCCAGAAATGCTTTCAACTGTGGTACTTTTTCAATTCCTTCTCGTTGGCATAATGATGCAAAATATTTGCAGTTAATTAAGTAAAGCTCGTAAGTATTGTTTTCAGCTTTTACAACTTCTGTCAACATTTCAAGCATTTGCATACTTTTTGCGTCGTCTAAATTAGAGTTAAAAGTAGTTTCATGGGTAAATCGAGAAATTCATTCTAATCATTCTTACTGTTTGGCAGTTACGCTTTGACAAGCCACTTTTCGGCAATTACTAAGTGAACGGTAGTTTGGTAACTTTGGTATATTTGTGCGAAAATTGAACTCTTTTTATGAAACGAAGTTATTATACCTGGACTCCAGTAACCTATAAACGTCATTATTCCAAGCTTTCCATGTTCCATGATTTCTTTATAAAGAAAATGACTAATATGCGGAAGGCTTTGTAAAGCAGCTGATCGCTCGTCATCGGTATTAAAATTTATTGGTTTTGCTAAGAGGCTTTCCAGCGTACTGATACTGCACTGAGTGCCTGAAAGACTTAAGTATACTCATTCAAAAATTTGTA